AAATAATTTTTTTTAAAAAAAAAAAAGGAGGAAGTTTCCCGGGAACGACACTGCCTCCAGTTTCAAACACACCCCTTCGTCAATGCGCCGGTGGGGAGGAAGCAGCCTTCAGCACACCCCAGCGGTTCTCCCCTTCCTCTTTCTCCCTCCGACCCCCAATAATAAAAAAAAAAATCAGGAAGCCAGAAGGTTAAAGTCTTCATCGCTCTCCATCCAGTCCATGACTGGTCCAGCTTTTCGTCCACATGTTTTCTAAGGCAGCCATCGGAAGATTCCTCTTTCTGAAACAAAACAACCACCCCCCCAAGACGTGTGTTTGCCATCTTTCTGAATTGTCTCTCGCTTGCCTGCTTTGCCCCCAAGCTGTTTCAGTTCTTAAAATAAAAGCAGAACAGTTCTGAAAATAGAAAATACTGTTCCTAGGCTGGCCTCATCCACCTCGACGCGTCTGAAGACGAGGTCCACCCAACGAAATCCACAGCAATCCAGTCTTGTTTTATAATCAAGCACCCAAAAACTTTGCTCTCACGGACCAAAAATGTATTATTATTATTATTATTACTAAATGGTCTTTGAATTCTTTTTCCAACACCCCCTTCCCCGCCCCGCCCACCCCAAAGGATTCTGTTTCCCCTACCCAAGGTTTATTATTTTTATGCTACGACAAATTCGGATTTCATGTCCGCCTTGACTTCGGGTTTCCAAACTGAATCTTCGAAGTCCAGATCAAGGCTGCCTTCACTAGAAACGCTGCTGTTGCTGCTGGTGCGGCCGGACTTTCGGTTGGGCAGCCAGTGGTAGGGGGCTCGGGCGTCCCGCCTCGCCTTCCGGCGCAGCCGTTTCTGCTGCATCAAAAGCTGCAGGCGTTCCACTTTGCAACGCGTGGCGCGGTTCTCCGTCTGCCGCAACCGGTCGCCTAAAAGGGGGGCACGGAGGAAACAGCGCCATTAGAGGAAGAGTTGGATTCAAATCACTCATTCAGCTGGAAAAAAAATGGGTTTTACATAGCGAACCTCTCATACGGATCTGCTGGCCAGTTCCTTTCACCGTGCGCCAGCAGGAGGGACAAGCGACTGACTACGTGCCATCGAGGCGGCGTCAACTCCTAGCAACCATGTAGCTAGACCTGATCGAGGGTGATTAGTCCCCAGTCTGGGCTTTCTGGCATCCCAGCGGTGCATTCACCCACCCTGGACGGAGTTCATTCATCCCAAGCGGGTCACACCAGGAAGTAAAATAATACAACTCTTGATTTCAGCTCTCCCATCTCAGTGCCCGAGAAACAGAAACCATGCAGAAAACTAAAGTAAGGTTTTCCTTGCAAGCCTTCAGGCCTTCTTTCTCCAATGCTCCAGAGAGGTGTCTCCTCTGGAACAGAGAGATCTGGGACTATCTCTTTTTTTTGGGGGGGGGGAGAGACATGAAAGGCTTCACATCAGTTCTAAACTTTCGTTCTCACAACAATCCAGCGACGTAGGCTTAGTTCAACTAAACCGCATTTTTCCTAACTGTTACAGCCCCAAAAGCAAGCAGCCAAGAATTACTAAACGAACAACATAATTTAGATGGGCGGCAAAACTTAAGATTACACCTTGTGAATCTGTCACCTGCCCTCCCCCCCCATTCACAGGCAGCTATTTCAGCTGCTGGAGGAGAGAGAAAGTGGCTTTATCGCTTAACCTTGGGACTTCTCTACCCAATGCAAAAGCACTCTGTCGCCACAAGTCACAGCAATAACCCTCAGTTTTAGCCGGGATCTCTGTTAAATCCACAGAGAAAAGGTGAGAAACCAACAGCAGCTGGGCTGCAAAGGGATATACAAGTCCATATAGGGTACGGCGACAGATAAATCAAGCACATAAATAAAACATACGAAATGCCCTGCCACCGAATATCAGCTGTTGGAGGATGATTAGAAGAGCAAGCCTTTGCTTTCAGCTCCCCTCCCTTAGCTGCAAGACTGTCTTGGCCGACCCCTTCCCTCCCAGATATATAGGACAACGAAGTTAAAACCAGGCCAGCGTCCTCCCTGAGGGCCCTTGGGGGTCACGCTTGGCATGGTGAGCCCCTCCCCATGCACCGAAAGGCCCGCCAGGCTTTCGGCCACTAGGTCACTGTCTCTGGGGCAACCGAGCCAGGATGCTCAAGGAGCAGGTGAACAATGGCCCTGGGCACCTTGCTTTCATTCTGCCCACCGCTGCCTTTTCTGAGCAGAACAGAAGCCACTCCGTTCCCAGCTTCACGCCTTCCACTCTGTGCGCCATCAAAGGAGGCAGAGGGTGCTTTTTGAAAAAACAAAACACAATTCCTCTTCTTCTTCTTCGCCTGCCTGCTTTAGCAGTCCGTGGGTGGGTGAACAACTGAACGTTTACAAAAATGAGAGAGAGAGAAAAGCGGAGTCACTCAACAAGACGTAGCCGTGGCATTTTCTCTCCCAGGGCCTCCTGTGTCAATGACCCCAGGGGACCGGGGCAAGAGAATATATATGATTTTGGAAAGCGGGACTTAAGGGGGAAAGGAGAGGGTTTTGCTCAAGCACTGAAACCTAAAATAACAGGGCACCACTCGTGCAAAAAAGCAATTCAGTCTGCCAGAATTTGAGCCTCTTGTTCTCCCTCCCCAGAGGGAACTCAGGGATACTTGCCATTCAAGGTTAACACGGGCATCTGTGTTGGGTGATGGGCACTGGAATAAGGAGTACGGGAGGAGGAGGAGGAAACACGCACGTCGCATGAAGGGCGCGCTACTACTGCATCGACAGGATCGAAAGTAGCCAAGCACGTTAAGAATTAACTGGCTGATCTCATGCCCTGAAGCGCGGAAGGGCATTTTTAATCTGCACTGGTGACAGAAGCTGGAGGCGGCATTTATTCTAGAGGAATTCATCTGAAGAGACCACAAGCGTGCAGCCGCCCCCAGAGAGAAAGACTCGACTTGGTGGACAGGCTGATCAAAGCAGTGGCGGGGGGGAAGAAGAGAGGGGATTCATTCTCTCCACTGACAGTTTAATTAGATTGCTTCTTTCTTCTTCCAAGAAGCTCCATGAACAAGCCTCTAATCTCCTTTGGCCTCCACCACAAGCCTGCAAGGTAGACTGTGATGAGACTGACTGACTCAAGCTCCCCCAGTCACTTTTCTGGTGGATAGGAGGATTTGAACTGGGGTCTCCTTAGTCTTAATCTGGCACTGTAACCCAGTGTTCCCAAGCTGGGCTACTCCCAGGTGGGTGGACTTCAACTCCCAGAATTCTCAGCAATGGCCATGCTGACCAGGGAATTCTGGGAGTTGAAGTCCAAGCATCTGGGGGTTATCCAGGTTGGGAAACACTGTTCCAACCCCAGGAATCGGGGAATTGAGACAATATTGCCAGTCCAGTCTTGTGCTTTTAAATTAGCTTGTGCCACCCCCCCAAATCAGTACCGCTATAGAGTCACAGCAACAACCGCAGCAAAAGCAATATTCAAACTGCCCAGATATGTTGAACTACAACTCCCATCCTGCCTGAACACTAAAGGAGGGCCCCTATGTGCATGCAAGCTGGTGCACTGGTTAGGAACCGTCGCAAAGGAAAGAAAAGAACAGCACAGCCTTGGCACAGCCTTGGCACAGCCTTCCAGGAGAGCCGATTCCCTTTCCCGGCTCGAAATCCTACCCACCTCCCGCTTGGCTCGATTCCCACCTGCCTGATTTTCAGCACTCCCAAGAAACCCTCCCACCAGCCTTCCTGCAGCAACAGCCCCTCATGTCTCCCCCACTGGGCCAGACCCCTCCCTTTGCCAAGTCTCTCTGCACAGCCGTTTCCAAGCATTTTCACCCACAGCTTCCCCACCAGTGAGCAGAAAAGCATTCCAGCCCTTTGCACGCCACTGAGCGCAGTTACCTCCCAGGCCCCTTTCCTAAGACCTTCCTTAAGCATGCAAGTCAGACGGAGAACGCACAGATCCGTGTTGTCTGCCTGCTCCCTCCTCTGTGCATTGTAGGATTTGGGGAGCAATCCAGGGACCGCTCTGTTGCATCTCTCCAACTGTTCTCACTGGAGGCCTGATTTTCAGAGCGCAGCAGCTCACAATGGCTTCGGGACTTCAGGGAAGCATTGCTTCCCCGACGTGGCCCAAATAAGACGCTGTGGCCCTCGTGCCTGCCCCTTGCTCCCCCAGCCTCCATTCCTTGATTGTCCTGCCCTGTTACAGTAGCAGCTTATGGAAGCAGAAATGTGGGGATGTTCCCCTAATTTCACCCAGAGAGTGCAAACGCCTGGCATTTGCAAAGGGAGACCCTGGATCTGGGGGTTCCCCAAAGCCTCTGTGTTGCCGCCATGCTTACCCTGGTGAAAATGGCCACACCTTTGAGCAAAGGTCTCCCTCTCACGCCACCCTGAAAATGAAAGTGAATCCTTGAGCAGAGAGGTGGATGGAGGGCAAGGTTGCCGGAGACCTCTGGGCACTCCCAAAATTGTGTGTCATGCAACAGGGAGGGGAAAAAATTAAATGCAGGACTGGAGGGGATGAAAAGTAGCTATACGGAAGGAGGAGGAAGAGGAGGAGGAGGAAGAGCATCACCACCACTACCAAGTTTGGGTCCTCCTCTCCTACCACGTAAACATTGAACTGGGAAGTTACTCTTTCCTGTTTGAACGCAACCCAGGCTGATGATTTGCAAAGAACACCTTCTTTTTGGCAAACACCCCCCAGAACAACCCAAATGATTCCAGATGGGCTGAAGGGAACCGCACTCTGCACATGCTCGGCGACGCCCCTTTCCCACACTTATTTTCCTCTGCAGGACGACAGTTGCTCCCATCTATTCCAGTCAGCAGGCCCTCAGAAGGCGGCGGGGAAGAAAAAACAAAGGGGGCTTTGTCTCCTCAATTTGTTTCCACAACAAATGCGGTCCCCAAGGGCTGACCCCCCCAGGTGCAGCAGAATGAAAGGAGAGGGTGTAGAGTCCCCCCCACCAGCCCAGCCCTTTTGTCTCCCTCTCTCCCACTTGGCTGCAGACAACTGCCTAATCGGGGCGGGGAGGCGGGGGGTTTACAAAGGCTCAATGCAGCATTTGTGGCTTCAAACCTCCTCTTCCTACAGCTTCTCCCTTGCTACCTTCCGTTCCTCCCCAATTCATCCCGTGGTTCTTTGTTTGGGAAAAGAAAAACCCCCCAGGGGGTGCACCCAGGCTTGGGGAGGGTGGGGGACACACGCAGAAGCCAGCGACGGAAGCAGCGGAGTCAAAAACTAATGCTATGACGCGTGTAGCGACAGAAACATGCAGCCGGGAAACGTGCAGCAGAACCCTCACTTCCTCTGCTGCGCCACCTCAAAGTAATGTGCTTCCCCCTTCCCCAACCGTTCGCTTTTGTGTTTCAGGCAGGTGGCATCTGGTGGCCTGGGAGCTGGGCATCTCACCCGCTGATCTTTGCTTTTTCAATTGCCTTGCCAAGGAGGGCCTCGGCGGCTGCCAACTTCGCAGGCACTTGGGTGACGTAGCTCGGCCGGCGTGCGCAAAGGAGTCGGTCTGCTGCAGCACATGACGAGGGGAGGGGGCGGAGGGGGAAAGGAGGACAGTGGATTCCCAGAAAGTGGGGAGGAGGGAGACAGAGGAGGAGGGAGACAGAGGAGGAGGGGACGGGAAGGGGAGGCTGCCTGTTTCTTGGGGTGGCCGTGAAGGCCGACAGCCTCCTCCATGGCAGCATTTGTAGGTTGGACTGACCCCGCCGCGGGAACGGCGTCTGATGCAAGCAAGCGCTCCGGACTTTGCTGGCTCCAGCTGGTTGCTCAAGCAGGGAACGGCTGGGAGGGGATCTCAAGACCACTGGGTCCTCCCCCTTCCTTCGACAAAGGGTGCGCCCAACCGGATAGCCTTGAACACCAGCAGGGTTTTGCAACGTCCAGGCACACCGCCAGACTCCGTCCGGCGGGCCAT